AAAGGAAACTGAGCTATGCTTATGTTTTTAAATGAATGTTTTGATGCAACATTTTGGTAATTTAAATATTAATAAAGGAAAATAATTTATCAAACCCAGGGTCTTTTTTTGTTATATCTGACTGAAAAGGCAAGAACATTTTACAAAAAGAATTAAAAATGAAGTCTAATGCTAAACAGATAAAAATGAAGTAAGCATATTTTTAGGCATAAAACTGTTCTAGATCTCCTGAAGTCCCGTAATCTCATTCAAACAATGAAAAGCTTTTGCTCTGAAGGTATGCAAATGAGTTAAAAAGCTGTTCAAAATAAAATACTTGAAACCTCTGTTTATTAATAATCTATATTACTGATATAATAGCAAGATACTTGATATTTATAGCTAAAATTTTCTAAAATTTTAGTTTATACCATTTTGTGTTTAAATTAATATAAAAATAAACATTAAAATGGTCCATATTGTATATTGTTTTAATTTAAATAAATAAAAATCTGGAAATTCCCCTTCTCAGAATATCACAGTTACAGGAAACATAAGTAGATCACTAGGTATCCAATTTCATCTCCCACTAACTCTCATTAAAGTTCTAGGATGTGAATAATTTATAGAGACTAAGGCTATGATCACACCACTCCAGTACTCTTGCCTGGAAAATCCCATGGATGGAGAAGCCTGGTAGGCTGCAGTCCATGGGGTCGCTAAGAGTCAGACACGACTGAACGACTTCACTTTCACTTTTCACTTTCCTGCACTGGAGAAGGAAATGGCAACCCACTCCAGTGTTCTTTCCTGGAGAATCCCAGGGACGGGGGAGCCTGGTGGGCTGCCGTCTATAGGGTCGCATAGAGTCAGACACGACTGAAGCGACTTAGCAGCAGCAGCAGCAAGGCTATGATACTAATCTTACATAGTGAAAATAAACTTCATAAAGATTCTATCTGTGAAAAATTTCTCTAACATGAGGAAGAGCTTTCCACCACTCAACACTATAAGACTATCTATCCCCCATACCTCTCTGATCAACTGATTTTGATACAGGAGCAATAAATTCAATGTTAATTAAAAGAAACAGTTAAATAGATGAATCAAAGCTATATCAAAATTCCATGTCAAAATCCCAGAAATCAACATTTTATATAATATTCTCCCTTTTAGTATCATTGTAGTCTCCATTTTAGTCTATTATGATCATTGAGATCCTTTATAGTCTTCTAAAAGAACTGATACACTTAAGAGGAAAATGTTCATGTATAGCTTTGATGTATGCAAATAATTTATGCAACTTTTTTGATTTAAAAAAAGGTCCCAAATGAATTAATAAGAATCTCTTACTGAATTCCTGCATATCATTCAAGTATACATCATTTTACTGAAAAATTCACAATATAGTTGATATTAAAACTCAAAATATTTAATAGTAACTGTATTATAATATTCTGCTTATAACACTTGGCATTTGATATGATGCAGCCAAAACGAAAATTATCTTCTAATTGATCATAACTTCTATTTAACCCCGCAAAACTAAATGTGTGTTATGAGAAACAGTGTTTTCAGGACATACAATTGACTTTTAGCATAACTTTGCAATGTCAAATGAAAGCAGTTCCTTCTATATTGGCATCATGGTAATAATCTCTGTATTTTTAACCATTTTGAGACACTACCTCCCTGTTTCTCAGTGCCTTTCTTAAATTCATTTGGTAAATGCCCTCGGGACTAACAGATACTTTTTCTTTTGCATTTCTTAAGTGGTGCTAAAAATTCATGCTTTCAGTAGATACTTAGAAATGGCCAAAACTGATTTGGAAATATGTTTGGAAATATACCATCTGGGGTCAAAACTGATGTAAACTATAAGCATTGAGGAATCTTTTTTTTGCATGTCTTAGAGTTTCATTCTGAAGGAAAAAGAGTTCCAAAAGCATTCTAGATACTTTAAACATGCTCTAATCTCATGATAAACTATTTTATGTAAAATATTCAGTTTCCTATGTGTGTGTATATATACATACACATATATAGTTTATGCTTATATAAAGTATAAACTATAATATATAAGCATATACATTTATGCTTATCTCCATACATATTTTAAACTATGAATATATGTTAAGCGTTGCTATCATGGGGAATCAAACATTTAATCTATATATATTTGCATTACTTGGATACAGTTATAACATCGTATAGGAATGATCTGCCTTTATCTTAATTTTTAAGGACAAGATATGTCGTTAAAGGAATAGATATTTACATGAGATCATAAATGAAGTACCATGATTCAGCTCTCTTTTTCCTTTCTATAAATAAAAAACAAGGATGCATGTGTTTTATATGGTTATGAATTTTATTACAGCTCCATAGTCACACTTGAGAAAGGAAATTCTTAACTTGCAAATGTAAGAGCTTTACTGAGATAACTGTTGAGAAATCTGGTTTAGAGAAACCAGTGTGTCTTTCAACTTCATGAACCACATCAGTATACTCTATCATTTGGTTCTATGTTGGTGGAGCAACTGCAATTTAGGATTGGGGGTTCCTCTGAAATATACCTAGAGAGGTACCCCAAGCACTTACTGCAAACTTGGCTTAACTCACAACTTGCACAATTGCTTAAAATAAATACTAAGCAATTTCTTCTATGAAAGACAAAAAGGAACAAAATGACAAGTTAGAATCTTTGAGTGTACTTTTTAGTAATTATGTAAACTGTTTGATTGAATAGCACAGTCGAACTATCTATTCTCTATTTATAGTCCAAATCTGAAATTAATCACATATCACTTACACCAAATAGTCATTAACAGAACACATGAGAAGCTAAAATTTGATCAATATAGTCATCCAATGAGGAATGTCTAAATCATACCCCCTACCCCTTACTGCTCTTTCCATTCTACATAAACTAGAATTTTCCTTCAGAAGTGTTATTATTTTCTGACTGAAATTACCAATGTCATTATCTCAATTACTGCCTTAATTTTGCTTTGCTAAATAGAATTTAATCAGCCAATTAATATTTATTAAACACCTACTATAGATCATGATTTTTCTTCATGCTTCCAAAATTTTGAGCTATGAGGGCAATAATCTAGAAAATTATGTTATCACTAACAATATGATCATTTTAACCCGTGCATGCGTGTTCAGTCACTTCAGTCGTGTCTGACTCTACGACCCTATGAACTGCAGCCCGCCAGGCTCCTCGTCCATGGGATTCTCCAAGGCAAGAATACGGGACTGGGTTGCTATGCCCTCCTCCAGGGGATCTTCCGGACCCAGGGATGGAATCCGTGGCATCTCCTGCATCTTCTGTCTTGCAGACAGATTCTTTACTGCTGAGTCGCCTGGTAAGCCTTTTGACCCTGCATATAACTTCAGTTAAAAAACATCATTACTTTAATTTCTAAATTTTAACTTATTTTTTGAGTTTAGTCATTCAGTCGTGTCCGACTCTTTGTGGCCCCATGGACTGTAGCCCACCAGGATTCTCTGTCCATGGGATTTCCCAGGCAAGAATATTGGAATGGGTTGCCATTTCCTTCTGCAGGGGATCTTCCAGACCCAGGGATCAAACCTGCGTCTCTCAAGTCTCCTGCATTGGCAGGTAGGTTCTATTTTTTTTAGTAATTCAGTGTATACTACTATCAGATAATCTGAGTTAAGGTCTGCTTGATATTTGATTATGAACCAAGGCCATTTAAAGTTGAGACCATGTAAAAGTATAGATTTTATATCAGTTTATAAAAATGAAAAAGTGATATTGCAGTTACCAGGGGGAAATTATATAGCAGTATAAGGATATTTTTAGATCACATAATTTTATGTGGTATGAATATGCTGCTGTCAAACTCATCAGTTAAACTGTCCAGCAAACATGTATCTAAACAACTATATTTTTTGTATTTTGCATCTTCTATATATTCTTTAACTTGTTAACCCAACCATCAGCTGTCTTATTTGCTTGCTTTTATTTTTAACCAAATATAGTCATGGGGCCCATTAGAAGGAGAAAATGAATTGATTTCCTAGGAAGATCATTGAATTTTTTAATGCCAACATGGCAATTAAAGCAAAAAATAATTCAAACACAGAATTTATGCCTCAGAATGCAGGCAGGTACTGGAAAAAGCTGACATGCCTAACAAAAACACATTTGTTACATTTGGTTACTATATTCTCACAAATATATTCTTAAAAAAAATAGCCTTGTTTGGAAATAGCATTATAGGGATAGGGGAGCCTGGCAGGCTACAGTCCATGGAGTTGCAAAGAGTCGGACATGAATGAGCGACTAAGCACATACACACACTGATTTTCATAAACCACTTACACCTAGAAATGAATACGGTAGTATAACAATGACAGCTGGAAAGAACTTTGTTTATAATCAACATCAATAGCGTTTTGTTCAGACAGCTTTGGGGGTACCAAGTGTTAGCAAAAATTAATTTTAATTCATTTAAAATTTGTTTTGTTACCTTTGTACTTTTACCTCACTCAAAATAATTGAAGTTAAAAAAAAAAGTTCCCCTGAGGAGACCTTTTTTTTTAATAAGTTAAAAAATGAAAACAACACAGAAAATGTCAAATATATTATTAGAAAATAGGTATAGGAAAAATATTCCAAAATTACTTTAAATCTGATTATAATCACTTTACATATATCATATGATTGCTTACATTTCCATTTATTTCTTCAAATCTTGTTTTCTTAAATAATTTGGACAAATGTAAGCAGACTTTGCACTAAAATTGATTTCTTGGCAACAGACTGATAAAATATTCTACCACATTTCCTTTTCTGTCATTGGACTCAAAGTTGGATTTCCTCAAATAATTTGCTTTGCATTAAGAAACAATAATAAAAAGCTCACAAACTCACTTTAAATTTTCATTCAGGAAGTGGTTGTCTGATATAATTCAGCTGATAAATATGAACCTATGTGTTTATCAAATCCCTAAGAAGATTATCTAAATCAACTCCGTGTAATTACCATTCACCATCTGTTCCACCAGGGCCTGAGCTGATCTGCTGGCATCTTGCAGTTTTCTGAACTTCTCGGCTTTTTCTCGCTCTATGGCCTGCAGCATGATAGCAAAGGTGAGTATTCAGTACAAGGATTGTGAAAATACACAGTAATTATAACTTCTACTTGCCCTTTCAAGCCTTAAGATATTTCACTCTGTCAGTTTATCATGAGAATCTAAAGATTTTTTTCCCAAGTTCTTGGCAATAGACGCATCAAAATGGCAATGAAGCAGAAGTCATTTTCATACTGAGTTGTTTCTTAAAAAAATAAAAATAAGATGTCTACTGTTAACATTTGTTACCTGATGGTTTCTGAGGCATTATAAGACTGCCCCCCCAAAAGGAACCAAAGTCAAATCATAACAAACCATGAAACAATAAGCTGTTAGATCATTAAAGTGGAATTTACCTTTTAAAAACACACCACTGAAATTGTTACTAATAACATCAGTATATATTCTTTATTAAAAATAAAACAGAAAATACAATAAGTATACACAATGGGAAAAAGTATACAAGCATAAATCATTTAGTGAAAAAAAACATATTTATCTTAATACAAGACTGCAGGTTAATTTTTCTAAAATTGTCAAAGTACTCCCATTTTAAGGAAAAAGAAATTCAGTTTCATAAAGCTTCCTAAATCCCTTTGCTCATTTCTCCTAACCAAAGTTAACTTTTAAACAACAGAAACCCAGTTACTTAACAAAATGTAATATTTGATACTGTTGAGCTTAGCAAATAATGTCTCTATAGAGACATCAATTCTAAGCTATCATGCAGTAGAACTATATTACTATAGTCATTAAAAAGCTATGGCTATATGACCCAGCAATCCCACTTCTGGGCATACACACCGAGGAAACCAGATCTGAAAGAGACACGTGCACCCCAATGTTCATCGCAGCACTGTTTATAGAGCCAGGACATGCAAGCAACCTAGATGCCCATCAGCAGACGAACGGATAAGGAAGCTGTGGTACATATACACCATGGAATATTACTCAGCCATTAAAAAGAATTCATTTGAATCAGTTCTAATGAGATGGATGAAATTGGAGCCCATTATACAGAGTGAAGTAAGCCAGAAAGATAAAGACCATTACAGTATACTAACACATATATATGGAATTTAGAAAGATGGTAATGATAACACTATATGCAAAACAGAAAAAGAGACACAGATGTATAGAACAGACTTTTGGATTCTGTGGGAGAAGGCGAGGGTGGGGTATTTCGAGAGAACAGCATCGAAACATGTATATTATCAAGGGTGAAACAGATCACCAGCCCAGGTTGGATGCATGAGACAAGTGCTCGGGCCTGGTACACTGGGAAGACCCAGAGGGATCGGGTGGAGAGGGAGGTGGGAGGGGGGATCGGGATGGGGAATACATGTAAATCCATGGCTGATTCTTGTCAATGTATGACAAAAACCACTACAATATTGTAAAGTAATTAGCCTCCAACTAATAAAAAAAAAAGAAAAAGCTATGGCTATACCAATGTTATATGTCCTGCAGAAAAAACAAGCTATAATATATTAAACATACAATGAGAGCAATACTTCTATGATTTAATAGTCACCTTATACAAAGATTTCACTTGAGTTTGTGGCAGCAGGTTTTTATACATCAGACTGTTTTATAAAGCTTTTAGATTTATAGGCATTTAAACAAATATTCCAGATTTTAATATTGGAGTACAGATGGGAAGCATATAATAGATACACGCACACTCTGAGGAGCATTGTTCAATAGAACTTTCAGCAAGAATGGACATAGTCTGTATCTGCATCCCACTAGCCACATGTGTTTGTTTATTGAGCGCTTGAAACATGGCAAGTACAACTGGGTATATTAGCTTTTAATTTAATCTAAGTTGATTTAAATTTTAAAAGCTACAATGTGTCAACTGTAATTGCAGAGTGCAGATCTAGTGTCTTCCCTCTAAAAGCAAAGAGTTAAAGACAGACACACAGATCTAGATATGCAGACAGCAGTATAGACACAAACAATATGGCAACACTAAAAATACTTTCAGATAAGTAAGTAATCATCTAAATTGGATGATTCTCCAAGCATATCAAATGCTGGGAACGCTCATAAAATAATCCATATATTTTTAAATATTTTAAAAGATTCTCCAATTTAAAGAAGTAGTCACAAGTGAATAGAGTTCTTTAAATTTATTTTAAAAAGAGTTCCATGAACTAGCATTATTGGATTCAAGGTCAAAGAGAGCAAAATTCTAAAAGATAATAGATAATAGAATACATCCAATCAGGAAAAACATATTATACATTAAAACTAATCAAAATTTAGCAAAGTAAGTGAAATAAAATACTAAAAAATGTCAGTCTTTTTTAAAAAGTATTTATAGCTTAGTTGGAATATAAACACTTTAAATTATGATATCAAGGGCAGCAAATGAGAACACAGTTTCATGTAATTGGTACCAAAACTCCAAAGGTTATAGAAACATTTTAGTATCTTGGATTCTACTTGAAAATTTCTAAGTACACAGACTGTGGTGCTTGGGGATTTATATGTTCCCAGGATCCCATACCAATTAGCAGGTGAAACTTCTGGGTTATCTTGAAAGTCAGTTTCACAAAGACATTACTGAATTGTTTACAAAAGCATGTGCACAACCATGGAAGGTTCTAGCTTGCTACTTGAACTGAAAAGTCCATGAAAATAAAGGAGCCACAATACACTGTTAAAGATAAGAACCTAGACAAAGCTCTAAAATTCACATTTTCTTAATTCTCAACTTTTGTCTTCTAAATTCTCTGTCCTTCATGTCTAATTGCCACGTTTCCTAATACTTTAAATTTATTTTCCATTAAAAGATAAATGCTCTTTGCAAAGGGCTCAGAGAAAAATAAGCATATTCTAAGTAAATATATTCAAATACTCCCACTATCAAGAGTTATAGCAGGATTTGAGGCATCTCAAATTTTAACTACATCAGGACAAAAAAAAAAGAAAAAATAAATACTCATACTATAACAAAATGACAGCAAGGACAATGAGAACAAACTGTGTTCTTCAACTTAAGCAGTTTCAGAATTACCATTTTCTATCAGAGTGGCCTCTATTTTATCTACATTGAGTTTTTTTAATATATGAAATTATATAAAGAGTAGAATCAGAATACCATGTTGTCTTTATAAATAATGAATAGAAATTATTAATGGCCTTCTAAATGTCATGATCATAAGCTCTTTATTCTAAGCATCTAATGGAATAATCAATTAGTATTACTAACAGAGAGACAAATATAATTGAATATCCTGGGGGCAGTATGTGAGCTTAAATAAACCTTGCTTGGTTAGCCATATTATTCCAATTGTTCTAATTTATGTAACAATAACCAGCATCAGCAGTACAACAAAACAATAATCTCTGGAGTAGGTACTATTACTCTCCCATTTTGACAGAGGAGGAAAGCGAGACAGAAATTTGTGAAAGATTTGAAAACATTGACATGACCATGGAAAAAGAATGGAGTGCCTAACACTGTGTACCAAAATACTGTGTATGTGCATTATTTTATATGTGTTTCAATAGTAATTCTATCAGATAGAATCAGCATTATTTTCTCTTATTTTACACAAGATAAAACTGAGTGCCAATAAGATCATCAAATATCCAAGGTCACAGAGATAAAGGGAACCCCTCGGTGGAGCAGTGGTTAGGACATTGTGCTTCCATTGCTGGGGGCACAGATTTGATCCTTGGTCAGGGAACTAAGATCCCACAAGCTGCCTGGCCTGGCCAAAAACAAGCAAACAAAAAAAGATGACAGAAGTAGAAAGCTTTAGACCCCTGATGATCTAATTACAAGTTAAGGTCTCTTTCAAACATACTCTACTGCTTCTAGGGGTATTTCAATGAAGATGCATCAAACTTACTGCTTCTAGGGGTATTTCAATGAAGATGCATCAAACAGATTTGAACAGATGTGATTCCAATTCACAGTAAAGATAACCTGATAGTTTGGATGTCATCAGAGATGGTATTCAAAATATTAATGCAGCATGGGCACTAAGGTATCAGACGGAATGCCTGGTCACTTGACATGTACACTGACAGTCTATAAGCTGACGGGCAACTGTGTACAGACCAATTACTATGCTCCACAGGCGATGTATATTCCATGCAACCTGGGTAACTGAGGCATAGAGATACAGGTTTAAGAAGCCATTCAATAGCCTCTTCATATTTGTCCATGTTTACATGATACCTGAGTTCTGATAAGTTACACCACTTTAAAGAGGAATATTGGAAAATAAAGAGAAATACTGGCACAAATGTGCCTTGTGAAGTATGAAGACGTTAGTGAAGAGTCCAGCAACTTTCATTTCATACACAGCTATAGATAGTTGACTGAAAATAAAATGAAAAAATTTAGGGTAGCAAAGAGACAGGAATGAAGGTAATCAAACCTGTGAAGTCATTCTGTTTTCAGTTGGTTTGAAGGCTGTCCCCACTGCTTTCTGCTGTTTGACAGTCAGAAAGTGTCACTGGTTGATTCTCAGTCCTCACCTTACTCATCAGGATAATTTGGCTCAGAGCAGTCCTCTTCTTGGCAATGCTGATGTGACTTCCTAGACTATGAGCACACACTTCCTCCAGCCTCAAAGACTGCCTTTACGCAGTGTGCCATGCAGGTCCCTCATCTCCCCGACCTCTACATAAAGCATGTTCTCGGACTCCATCTATATTTACATTCGCTCAGTCCAATGACTGTGCATTCTTCTTGACTCTTTATCTCAAACCCCACAGGCAATCCATCAGAACATCCTACCGACTCTCACCTCGAAACACATCCAGAAAGTGATGTTGCAACTCTACTCACTACTGCTCCACTAGTCGAAAGACCCCCATCATCTCTCGCGAGTCTGGATGTTTCAGCATAACCTACTAAATGGGATTCCTACTCCTGCCTTGGCCCCCTAATGATACATTCTCAACAGAGATGACAGAGGAAGCCAGCCCACTCTCCAGAAGTTCCCTTCTCACTCAGAGCAAAAGCTCAAAGCCTA